CACATGGGGTCAAACATGTTGAATTACGATGGGCGCGATACCAGATAGGCGGCGCCGACCAGAGGGACTATACACGTCGTCTCGCCTTGGGCGGAAATAGGATACCGTATAATATACACGGTCTAACCTAACCTAACCTACTTAACCTAACCTAACCTAACCTAACTTAACCTAACCTAACCTAAACTAACCTAACCAAACCTAACCTAACCTAACCAAACCTAACCTAACCTAACCAAACCTAACCTAACCTAACCAAACCTAACCTAACCTAACCAAACCTAACCTAACCTAACCAAACCTAACCTAACCTAACCAAACCTAACCTAACCTAACCAAACCTAACCTAACCTAACCCAACTCAACCCAACCTAACTTAACAGTGCGACGCTGATCATGGCGTTGCCTTCGAAATACGTCTAAAGTACCGCAGATATTGAAGTAGAAAACCGCCGCCGAGCGTCGCGACGCTACTAGAAAAGTGGATACTGTACAATATACACGGTCTAACCTAACCTAACCTACTTAACCTAACCTAACCTAACCTAACCAAACCAAACCTAACCTAACCTAACCCAACTCAACCCAACCTAACTTAACAGTGCGACGCTGATCATGGCGTTGCCTTCGAAATACGTCTAAAGTACCGCAGATATTGAAGTAGAAAACCGCCGCCGAGCGTCGCGACGCTACTAGCCGCGAAGATATCATTGTATCACATGTGAACGTCTCAAACAGTTGGGAACACATTGAGAGCGATTTTGTGAAATCGACGCCAGGCGTCGCGACGCCAACCATCACAACGCCTTCAAATAACGCCAAATGTTCACCAGATGTGACCTGATGACAGCGATGACTAAATTAGAAAACCGACACCTAGCGTCGCGACGCAAAAAATGGCGTCAAACCCGTTGAATTACGGTGGGCACGATGCCAGAGATTCGCCGCCGATCAGAGGGACTAAATTCGTCGTGGCGCCTTGGGCGGAAAGTGGATACCGTACAATATACACGGTCTAACCTAACCTAACCTAACCTAAGCTAACCTAACCTAACCTAACTCAACCCAACTTAACCTAACCTAACCTAACTTAACGTTGCGACGCTCATCATGGCGTTGCCTTCGAAATACGCCTAAAGTACCGCAGATATTGAAATAGAAAACAGACGCCGAGCGTCGCGACGCTACTAGCCGCGAAGATATCATTGTATCACATGTGAATGTCTCAAACAGTTGGGAACACATTGAGAGCGATTTTGTGATATCGACGCCAGGCGTCGCGACGCCAACCATCACGACGCCTTCAAATAACGCCAAATGTTCATCAATGTGACCTGATGTCAGCGAGGACTAAATTAGAAAACCGACGCCGAGCGTCGT